AATAGGCTACAACATGATGCAAACTCGACCTTTTGTACTGAAATTTTTAACTTTATAACGCTGAAAGTATATATATATATATATATATATATATATATATATATATATATATATATATATATATATATACAACAGAATAGCTGGCTACGATCCGAGAGAAACCAATACTAAAAATGTTCTAAAGTAATAAAGTTTTAATTTTCGACTGAATGTCTCAGCCTTCCTCAGAAATAATATTACTAATAATTTCTAACGTATATATATACACCAATAATATGCAAATATTACAATAATGATAACTAATTAAGCTTAGAAATAGACAAAGAAGTCACTGTTGCACAAAATCATGACTATCATTTAACCCTCCCCGATTAGTCAAAAGGGTCCCAATCCAGAAGTTTTCACATTCCAACAGATTACCACAGCGCTGATCAATCAGCATAAATTTCAAATATGAATGATCAGCCCCGTGGCAATCCAGGAAGTGATTAACAATACTACAAGTTCTGTGCCCACGCTTAATGTGTGACTTGTAGTTCGCAAGGCGGGCCTTAAAATTAACAGTAGAACCAACACCCTGTAAACCACAAGCCAAACATTCGGCAAGATATACCACTGCCTTGGACGTACATGTAAGCGATTTACAGATTTTAAAAACTTTCTTGGTAGTAACGAAACGAAAAGTGTGCCCTTCTAACAAAAAATTCTTACAGCAGTCACAACGCTTTGCTGTACAATTAAAACAACCGAATTGTTCTACTTCAGTATTTTCCTTGCCATATGGGTTGGAGGGAGCCAATAACTCCTTTAAATTGGCATTGCGCTTAAAAGACACACGAATAACCTTCTCGGGTAGAATATCTCTGGCCTTCTCATCACCACAGATAATGGACTTGTGATGTTTATTTATGATTTTTCGTATGTCTGGTCCACGCGGATTATACTTAGTAACTAAACAACAATATCCTTCATTGGACTTTTTCTTACTTTTGCGTGCATCTTCCCTAGAAATTTTACCTACTTCCCTAAATTTATCTAAGACATGTTCTTTTTCGTGTCCGCATTCAATTAAATAATTGGCATATTCCGCACTTTTGGCACGAAAGTCCTCTTCCTTGGAGCATATCCTACGTAGTATATAATTGTTGTATATAAATGTCGAACTGGCTGATACGAATATTGTATTTTGTCATCTATATATATATATATATATATATATATATATATATATATATATATATATATATATATATATATATATATATATATATATATATATATATATATTGTTAATGGACGATACTTTCAGCGTTATAAAGTTAAAAATTTCAGTACAAAAGGTCGAGTTTGCATCATGTTGTAGCCTATTAGTGTATCTGGAAATTGTCCCCCCCCCCTTGTGTATTCTGTCTCCCTCGATGATTCCTAATGAAGGAAGACAAGGTTCCGGTTCCAATGTCACAACGGATACTGTCCTCCCAAAGAGTGTCTCTCTGGACAATATTCGCTAGCGGACTGTGTCCCCTCTCGCGTATTCTGTCACACTCGTAAACTATCCGATAAAGTTCATAGAATGAGACCTTTTAGGAAAGCGGTATGGAAGACGCATTTTTAAGTTTTTCGAAACATTGGTTTCTTAACTTGGAATGCTTGTAATTCAAACCAATTCTGTTTACAACTGGGGCATTTTAATTTATTCTATCCGTTTTATATCATTGCATTAACTTACTGTTATTGGAAACAAACTAATTAGTCAAATGAATTCAAAGTATTGAAAAATAGCAGCTACTCCCAAGTTAAGAAACCAATGTTTCGAAAAACTTAAAAAAGCGTTTTCCATACCGCTTTCCTAAAAGGTCTCATTCTATGAACTTTATCGGATAGTTTACGAGTGTGACAGAATACGCGAGAGGGGACACAGTCCGCTAGCGAATACTGTCCAGAGAGACACTCTTTGGGAGGACAGTATCCGTTGTGACATTGGAACCGGAACCTTGTCTTCCTTCATTAGGAAAATAATATGAAGTTCATTTACTGACGAACATTGACCAAATATTGAACAGAAAATACTGACATCATTTTAATTACATATAGACATGATACCATAGGCATATACTCCGACTTTTTAGGGTTGACAATCGAAAAAAATAACATGTAACCATAAACGGTTAAATAAATTCAGTTTCGGTGCCGGCCGGAAGTTCCAGTTTGATTTCCACTTTGCCAACAAACGGGTTGGCCTCATGATGCCCTATACAGCTTGTTCTTAGAAAGTTGTTTTTTTTAAATTTATTTTTACACGTCTAATATTGCAATGTGCTTACAGTATTACGCATAATAAGTGCAATTGCAAAAGTCATTGTATGTTTCATGCTATATCTGAAGTGAACGTTCCTGCTTCTAATTATTTGACTATATAGTAAAGCAACGTTACAGTAAAGATTTGAAATGACACTACAACACTCAGTTTACACTCAACCGACACTCTTCAGTACAGGCGAGCTCATATTGATTGAGACTACGTTCACACAACACCGGAGCGAAAAAATGTGGGCAGAATTTACGTGTGTTTTTCGCACAACGCCGTTGCAGTTTGGTTACAAATTAAATTAGCACTCATGTAAACCCAAAATATTTCAAATAGAGCAACAAAATTTGAATGAAAAGCATTCGAATTTACAGTTTTGAAAACTGATGTTTTTGGTGTAAGCGGTATACAAAAAAGTAACGGCGTTTGTGTTCAAACGAAACCGCCAAGCTCTCGTTTTCATAAAAACCGTGCTCAAATTGTTGCACCAAAGTGACGTTTACAAACAATTTCGCTCCAGAGTAGTGTCAACGCGACGGCTAATTATGACTTTTCCGCGCCGTAAATCGCTCCGGCGTAGTGTGAACGCAGTCAAATTAATTTAAGCATCAAAATCCAGTTTCACTTTCATTCATGAGTTTATCGTTGTTGCCGTTTGTGGTTTTCTTGAAAGTTGTATACGTCGCATTGTCTTGTCCTGCTTCGCTTTTGATCCTTTCACAATCGTTCGACTTTTCGGGTGTTACATATAAAATGCCTGATTTCATGTTGTCTTTATTTTTCCGTACTTGATAAACCAAACAAGCAATGATAATGAGCAGAACTATTAGAATGATCGCTAATACTATGATACCAATAAAATATTTTTTGTCACTTTTGCAGCCGTCTTCTGCATCTAAAAATAGAAGTTATTTGAAGTGCATGAATAAATTGAACTTTCGTATCCAGCATACGGATCGATTCAAAATAGATTCAGAGACGTATCGGGCCAGGGGTTCACAACTATCAACAAGCCGAGGCAGACTCGAGATCGACTTAAACTAGACCCACTTCGAGTGGGCATGGTCTCGGATTAGTTCACGTTCCACAACCGAGCTAATTTCTTGTTTATTAGGATAACATTCCCTCCCTTCCCTTCCCTTCCTTTCCCGGCCGCTTAACAATGGTAGTTAATTTGGTGTGGAGACTCCACAAGAAGTCCAATGTACCGGCTTTTTAGATTGATCTCTAAGTGCTAACGTGTCAACGAGCCCTAAAACACACCTTTATCAGATTCTACAGCATCAGTTGGACCTTCCGTTGTTACGATACTAGTTGGATCTCGTCTTGATATAGTAGTTGTTGGACCATCTGCTGCATATTCTGTTGACACAGCAACGCTAGTTGGACCTCCTGTTGCATTATCAGATCGACGTTTTGTTGACACTACTGTAGACACACCAGCATCAGTTGGACCTGGTGTTTTTCCAGTATCAGTTGCACCTTGTGTTGATACATCAGTAGTCGGACCCTCTGTTGACACGTAAATATCAGTTGACACAACAGCGTGAGTTGGACCTTCTGTTGACACTTCTGTCGACACACCACCATCAGTAATTGGACTTTCTGTAGATACAGCTGCACCAGTTGGACCTTCTGTCGACACAGCAGCACCAGTTAGACTGTCTGGTGTTACAGCATCAGTTCGACCTTTTGACGACACAATAGTATCAATTGGACAATTATATTCATAATATGTGGCAATATTTTTTACTTTCCTGGCTTATTATTCAACTTCGGATGTTTTCAGGGCGGGAAATATCGCTGAGGGCGATTGTGGTTGAAAAATATTAATTGGGGGAAATCATGGGAAAATATTATATACGCAGAAGACAATATTCACAAAGCAATGTCTGTATGTGAAACTATCGTACTATGAAAAGTCGTTTTGTGAATGGAGGGCCAAAGCATCATGTGCTATGAAAAGAAACGTTGGAACAAACCTTTTCTTAAATTGGACTCGAAAAGGGAAGCTGGGGAGCGCATTGGCAAGTGGGTGAGTTGAAACGGCAATGGTGATGGTTATTCGTTATAGAAACGTTAATTTTTGGGGAAAAGGCGAAGTGTTGCAGTGGCTGGTGGAAAACGGAGCATCGGCCTACACCAAACTCTGTCTGATTTTTGTATTAGCTGCATTTAGTTTAGCACTTATTTCTGTTTTTATTTTATCTTTTCTTGCATTGTTGCGGTTAATCTGGGATGGTAGCGCCCACGTTGACGACTTGAAACGTCAGACCGAGCAAAGGCGTGTATGCAATGGCTGTTCTGGGCCACCGGAGCAAGGTTCTTAATTCCTTCTGGCAATTAACACCCGCGTTGAAGCCTTGAATGGGAGCATTACGGTGCGAAAAGTCAAACATTCTGTCGCATATCCTCAATGGTATCGTACATTGTAATCGTATGTAGGAAGATCATTATTGGCTAAAATAAAAATTTTGTTCTACCTTGTGGCGACACAGTTGGACCAGTTAAATTTGGTGTTGACGTAGCATTAGTTGGACCAGCAACCGGAGTTGATGTTGGTGTTGGTGAGGTATCGTTTGGTGCTAAAACCAATGGTGTAAAATATGGGAAATTTTAAAAATTTTATCAAAGGTTGTTACTGTCTTATCATAATGAATGGGTAAATATACAAGTTAGGCTAATTATTCTTAATATCATCGCTACGCATATGAATTTTCTGACCTTGGATAATTGACATGCAAAGTTCCTAGACATTAGCCTTTGCTTGTTTAATAAAACAAATTTAACGAAGCATAAAATTTGAAAACGAGTTATCTATTCCCGTTGGTGTAATGACATTTCGCTGACTTTGTTGTATAAGGACCTTTTTTAAGAGTTCTTCCGTGGAAAGGGCCATCTACAAAAAGGGACCATACTATACTTAGTGTGGAGAGATGACAGATGGGTGTTGGTGAAAAAATGTTTGGTGTGGCGTGTAATAGGGGGATAAGGGGGTATTCTCCTCCAGAAAATGCTTGTATTTTTTCACCTCTAGGACTGCATTTTCTACGTTTACGAGAACAATTATTTTTAAATACAGTGTTACATTACACTGTAGATTGACTGATTCTTCAGTTAAGTTCTTGCACGGTATGTTCATGTTTTAAAATATATAAGGACGGTATTCAACAACACAATGTTTAGCATTCAGGTTAATTAAAGACATTGAATCATTTGAAAATAAAAGGTTTTTTTTATTTGTGCCTCAGGGCATTTTTTTAAG